ATTTACACAAAGACTCACAGCACAAAATACTCTGGAAGTTGGCAAAAGAGCAACTATAAGAAACAAAGCAGGAGAGAACTCTAGAGTAACTCTAACCAAAACAGTCTCAGTTCTTCAGCACATGGGAGAGAGAGAGGATACAGAGAGATTGAGAGAAAGAGAGAATGAAAAAAGCTGTAAAGATGAGGACAAAGAGACTGCTGAGTGCTGATGAAGTGTGCTGAGAGAGAGAAAAGTGAACTATAGTACTCACATTCAGAGCTGGAGAAGTGTGCTGTGGAGTTGTGTTAGTGAAACAGGCTGCAGCGTGTGTGTGTGTGTGTGTGTGTGTCTTTCTCTCAGCTGCTTTTGTATTTGAATGCACTACTGGTGTGACATCATAGCATTCTTTCTCCCTCCCTCCCTCTCTCTCTCCCTCCTTCTCTCAGACTTCCTCACTCAAACTCTCCTTCTTTGTCTCCTCCCTCTCCCTCTCTATCCGTTTCAATATGATTCATTGGCATAACAAAAACAGCTACATTTGAATTGCCAAATCAGCAGCTTAGACTGATGTTGATATATGGGAAATGGTAACGACTTACAATGTACACTGTAAAAAATTATTTTTCAAAGTTGTAAATAAAACAAAGATGATTGGAGTTTGTTTTACAAGAAAATACTATTTCAATCTTTCTACTTCAAAATTTCACATTTCATTGAATGTGTTACTTGTCATTTCTTTGTAATTATTTGTAAAAATCTACAAGCAATTTCTGAGTGAAAATTGTTTCTACATAATTTTTTTGTGTAGTGTACCAATGCGTTAAGTATCATGAACTAACAATGAAAAACAATCTTTAATGTTTAATGTTTATTTCTGTCATGACAACTCTCGGAGGGATTGGCATGGCAATGTTAATGTATTTGGTCTTGGTGGAATAGATCTGTCCGTAGCAGTTGCAGCTTGCTTCAGAAACCCTCCCCCTTCCCCAGCTCCACCTGTATAGATCTGCTACGAGGTGATTCATGCATGCTATATGGGGGTAATTTCATGTATGTTATATTTGCAGCAGCAATATTTCTTACATGCTCACAGCAGCATGTTGTGGATGTATTGGCAGTAGCAAGTCTCGGTACTCGGTACAGCAGCAGCAGCAGCGTAACAGATCTATTCCACCAAGACCAAATACATCAACATTGTCAACAATTCTGTTGTGTGATCTTTAATTTTCACTCACTTAGCACACGCATCATTTGGATTAAAACTAAACCGTAAAAATAAGACCATTTATATAATTCACTATAAACATCATTTATTTTTAACCTTAGGCATACACGACTTTCTGGCGAAAGTGAATCTA